GGGGGGGGGGGTGTTTCTATATCATCAAGTTGCTTTTGACCTTGAGGATTGGAATCCGAGTACTGCATCCGAATCCTAGCCAGATACACTTTCCGCTGCACCGCACTGACACTCTAGGTGCAGAGAGGTGCCTCTCGATGCAGTGAAATTTCTAAAACGAAGGACTAGAAACTTGAAGACCGTTCGTCAGAAACTAAAAAGTAAAGTGAAAGGAGACGGGTAAAAAGAAATGTGGGAGAAGATTCACTGAAAGGCAGAGAGCTAATGGGTTTTAACAGTGAGAACTAGCACCTTGACACTCTGGCAGATTCAAGGGTCCGTTTCGTTCGTGGCTACCCAGCCCTCTCAAAATGCAACACGGCCACCAGCCTTCGGCCCTCCCGATTCTTTCGGGGGGGGGAATCTGAGGGTTCCTCCTGCAGACCTGTGTTAAAAGCGCTGCCAGAGGGAGACCTGTGTCTTGTTCATCCATTCTTATCCACTGATTTATTCACATCTTGCTCAGACCTTACGGCATTTCAGGTTTTAGAAAACCCGTAAACGTGACACAAAAATGCCAACATCGGAACAATTCCGTCTCTTTCACTTGCTTCTGTCCATTCTTAGAGGGTTGGGAAAAAGCTGAAATTGACATTTCCCCTTCCCGTTTGGAGCCCTTCGGGTGTAGCAACATCCTCTGAAACGGCCACGATTGTTCATCTGTGATGTTTTTCGCATGATGTGCCCGTGGGCTCTTAAATTTGCTGCGGCTTCATGTCTCCGTTTGCCTTAATACAGCCTTATGAGCCAGCCCGTTGAGCAGGGTGTCTATGGAGAGCTAGTTTTTTGTGTTAGCACCCATGCGCAGCATGAATGAGCACTCCAGGTTCAACACACGTGCGCCGTGGATGCCGGAGGGCATGATGGCATGATTGAGTCTCAGTCCGTTGTCAACCTGAGCCAGGGCTGCGGAAGGCTCGGCCTCAGGATCCGTGCGCATCTTCCGCCCCTCCAGTTTGCCACTGGCGATCTAAGACTGTAAGTGCAGGATTATATCTGCCGCTGGGGCTCCATGTGCGGCTGGAGCACGTGGCGTGATCCTTGGAGGGCAAAGGACACACAAACCCAGTAGCTCCTGGAGAGAGAGAGAGAGAGAGGTTACGGGAGGCTTCCAGCCCGCTCTGCTCCCCTTAACCTCGAGACCCTTCTTCCCTCGCTCTCTGGCTGAAGCCGTTTCTCAAAATAGCAGAAGCAGGTGTGGAGAAAGGCCTTTGAACCCCTTGGAGAACGTCCAGGTCCCCTTAAAAGTGGCCAGAGGGATTTCTAAGATGCCAGCGGGTCACTCGGAGAGACCCTCCGATCTCCAGCTGACGAGGCAAAGTGGAGTATGTAAGAGGAAGTTCAGCCTTGGGAGCGAGCAGATGATGTCAGTGTGTTTGCCCCCCCCGAAGGGTGTCGGACCTCACGCAAGATGAAGCAGGAGGACCTTGGCTCTCTGAGGCCAAGGCAACTCAGCCTCTCCCTCTTGGGATTAAGGCGCATTGTCACCATCCTGTAGATGGGACCCATGTTCTTAGCCCAGCCATCCTCTGTCAGGTTTCCACCAGAGACCTTGCCTGAAGATGATGGAAGTGGTGATCCAATAAATCTGGGGGGGGAGGTGCTGGTTTGGGTAAGATTTGGCTAGAAGAACACAGAGTCTGGCACTGGGTTCACATGAATTAATGAAGGAAGGCGATTTTAGGGCCCACATGGATTCTTAATTTTATCCCTCTCCTTTGGCTCCATTCTGCACACAGAGGTTTGGATTGTATCGTATTTCTATGGCTCTGCTTCAAAAATAACTGAATGACATTTCGGTTGAGGTCTCTGGCTGTGGAGCCAGAGGTTGGAAGTTCGATTCCCCCCACTTGATGGGCTGGGCTGGATGATCCCTGAGGGTCCCTTCCGGCTCTCCCGTTCTAAGACGATGATTTCAAGAATGTTCTTTCTTTAACTGGATTTGATTATATTTTAATATTCACAATTTACTGGCTGAGATCCTGTTCTTTAATGTGGTCGACCAGAGTACTCCTGTTGAATCAATGCAGCTTACAGAGGCGTGGATTCGGCACATCCCCCCTGATTCAATGGGTCTACTCTAATGGCCACTTGCTACACCAAGTAACAGAATTGCAGCCACCATAGTTTTCATAGTCCTGTTTTGAACTGCATGGCCAGCTAAATGAGGAAATCCATTCCCATTTTGTAGGCATCCTTCAGTATCAAGAGATTATGGTAACGAGGTCTGAATAGTTCTATCTCATTTTGTATCCTTATTGTTGTATGATGATGGTGAAGCATCTAGTTCTCCCAGGGACCAATCTTACCAGCGCTAGGAAAAAATCTTCATCAATAGTCCTGTTTTTAACTGCATGGCCAGCTAAATGAGGAAATCCATTCCTGTTTTGTAGGCATCCTTCAGTCTCAAGAGATTACAGTAACGAGGGACCAATCTTATCAGCGCTAGAAAAAAAATCTTCGTCATAATTAATACCATCACAACAATGCCGCTCAATTAACAAAGGTGGGGAGATTTTAGATCTGAAATAAATAAATAAATAAAATAAATCATTGATACCACCACTACAAAGCCACTCAATTAACAAAGGTGGAGAGATTTTAGGTCTGGCAGACTTTAATTCCAGCCTCTGATCTGCCAAAAAAAAAAAAATCCTTGAACGGTTTGGACTGAATTCAGATCTCTCAGCCTTCTGAAACAGGAACGATACAAGGTCTACCTGTCAGGACCGTTGTACAGACGGACGTAATGAGCCTGTACATCACTTTATAAACAGAACAAGGGGAAAAAAGAGAGATCATGATAAGGAAGAGGATGCCGATGAATAAGCAGAGGAATTGATCAATAAACCCACAACCCCGAATCTCACACATCCTCAGAGTGGGAAGAGAGGGGCGTAGCCTGAGGACAGGATCAAACATAAGGAGGCAAACTCTATTTTAAGACCGATGGCTTGCAGAGCGAGAGAGGTTTGCGTTCTTAGACTCGCTGACCTTCGTGACATGATCTCTGTTTTCATCAGTCTCAAATGCCACCGGAGCAGACCTTATAAAGGGGAGTCCGGACAGGATGATGAGTGAAGTGGCTCAGAGTCCCGACACAGGCAAGAGGGCTGGATGCAAGGGCCTGTTTCTTCTGCTCTGTTCCTTAGCTTGGCCCTGGATTTATTCACCGTTTTATTCTCCATATTGGCACACGCTCCCCCATGGAAGGAATCCTCTCCTGGGGACTCACCAGGAATCTGAAGACGAAATCTCTGAGGCCAAGTAAGGATGAAGTCTCTCCTCTTCACTAGCGTTGGGTTCAAAGGCTGGAGGATAAACTTTTCAGATCAGAGGTTTGGAAAGGTGTTGTTATTAGGGATGGAGGCACCTGTTTTACAACATATCATATCCTGGGGGTCCATTTCTGCCTGGCTTTGTCCACTGTGAGTAGCAGCAACCTTTCCTAGCCCTAACCGGAGATGTTGGGGTTCGAACCTCGGACCTTATGCATGCAAAGCAGGCTCTCTTTCATAGAACTACAGTCCCATTTTATAAATCCCAGTCTGCTTACTTGTTGGCCCCACACTCCCACTGCAACCCATTTAATGGTGTCCTGTGAAATGGAGGGCAGGTCTCTCTCTGTGTGTGTCTCTCTCTCCTCTTTCTAGGCAAAGACAGATGTTGTAGATAGCCCGTAATTAGAAAGGGAAGCTCTGTTTGCATGTGAATGTCACACCAACCTACCAACCTCCTTGCAGCTTGCTTCATTTTTTAAATTATTACTTTTTTACTGGTCTTCAGGTCTTACGCATGGGTGTCCTTTATAGTGTCAGACCTGGCTGCCTGTGCTGGAATTACATCCCAAACGTTTTTCAGCTGAAATTGCAGCTTATGTGTTAATATCTGGGGTTGCTCCCTCTCTCGAGCTCACTCACCCGGGAATCTTCTCCAACCTTTATTTTTAGAATGTGCAAGAGACATGCCAGAGCTTGTCTGGCGGAAGTGGGTTTTGCTAGGATGCTGCAATAGGTCACAGGTCAGGGGATCAAGCAAAAGCAAGCCCAGCTTGGGTCTGGTTCAGCCCTAAGTCTCATGGCCAAGGGACGGGGGAAGTAGATGTGCCGATAAATCCCTCCTCTTCAGTCTCGCCCGCCTCCCAGGGTTCTCGTTGGTCAAAAGAAGTGAAACTGGGAATCATAGACATGTCGCGTGTACCTATAGACCTCTTTGACTTGTATATAAAATAAAATCACAGAATTGTCTGGATCTCTATGTATTTGCTTGTTCTGCGCTTGTGTGTTTGTCTTTGTAAAATGTTTTTCAAGCATTTGAGTTTCTTGCAGCTGTATATTTGTGTTTAAAAATTAATATAAAAAAGTATTATTATTATTATACAAAAACACCAGGCACATTCAACATTATAAAAACATGCACTGGTATTCTATAACAGATACAAGCTTTAACCAAAAGCCTAAGTATCTGTTCAATATTAGCGCAGAAAGTATGCAGTTCCTAATATGGCTGTTTGTTTGTTTTTCATTTTATTTTTCTTGTTATTCCCAAGTTCATCCCCATCCTCAAGGACAAAGCTGTTTCTCGCTCCTCTGTCAGAGCTTGGATGTAGCTTGAACCGAAAGGGCCTGTTTTTTTTTTTTCTTTTTTTCGGAGCTGAAGCGCTTTCTGGAGCAACTGCAGAATGGTGGGCCTGAAGCCCACGGACATTCCCCCGTCTGCAGCCACCAAATTTCTCAGCGCTGGGACAGCTGCCTGCATTGCCGATCTCTGCACCTTCCCCTTGGACACGGCCAAAGTCAGGCTCCAGGTGCGTCTCATCTGTAGGTAGCAGCATCGCGGCCCCTTTTGGAGGGATCCCGGGATTTAGGACCAAACAGTGTGTGTGTGTGTTTTTTTTTAACTACCACTTCCAGAATTTCCCCATAGTGCTACAAGCACTCTCCGGGCGGTTTACAATTTCACTTCCAGAATCTCCTGGGCTGTTGTTGTTGATCTGCGTCATCAAGTCACTTCTGATTGACAGTAATCTTATGCAAGAGCGAATTCCAGAAATTCGTACCATCGATAGCTTTGCTTAACAATATTTGCAAATACCAAACATTGTGGTTTCTTTTTTTGAGTCAGTCCATTTCAGGCTTGGTCTTCCTCTTTTCCTGTTGCCTTCGACTTTTCCCAGCAGAAGGGTCTTTTCCGGTGAATCTTGTCTTCTCCGGATGGGCCCAAAGCACAAGAGCAGACTGGAACTGAACCATTTAGAAGGATTTTCTCATCTTCCACCTTCAAAATATGGAAGTGAGATCTGGACCTTAAAGAAGGCTGACCGCCGAAGAATGGATGCTTTTGAATAGTGGTGCTGGAAGAGGCTCTTGAGAGTCCCCTGGACTGCAAGGAGAACAAACCTATCCATTCTGAAGGAAATCAACCCTGAGTGCTCCCTGGAAGGTCAGATCCTGAAGCTGAGGCTCCAATACTTTGGCTATCTCATGAGAAGAGAAGACTCCCTGGAAAAGACCCTGATGTTGGGAAAGTGTGAAGGCAAGAGGAGAAGGGGATTCGACAGAGGACGAGATGGATGGACAGGGTCATCGAAGCAACCAATATGAATTTGACCCAACTCCGGGAGGCGGTGGAAGACAGGAGGGCCTGGCGTGCTCTGGTCCGTGGGGTCACAAAGAGTCGGACATGACTTAACGACTAAACAACAAACAATGAGGGTAACAGAGGGGGCCCTTTTGGAATGAGAACAAGATAATTGCTCTTGGGGTTGACATAGGGTACAGTTCATATCCAGGGGGGCTGAGAATGTTTTGGTCCAGACACCAACTCCACAAATCTCCCAGAATCCCCTAGCCAACAGGAGTCAAATTTCCACGCTCAGTGAGGATTAACACTCCGCCACTACAGGCATCGAACGTGGATCACTCCTTAGAGTGAGGTTCAAGCGAACTGGATTTTGAATGAGTCCGGCAGGCCCTGGCTGGGACTATGAACCTGTAAGCCCAAGCTTTTTAAAAACCTGAAATGCAAAGGCTGGATCTTGCACCCCAGCCTGCTACAGAGCTGACGGCACGATCCAGGGGTCCTCTCTTCATTTACCAGAGCCCTTTCTTCTGCCAGGGATTTCCTCCATGCTAAAGGACAAAGTCACAGTGGTCTCAGAAGCTGCAGCGGCTCAAAAGGTCTGCAGGGTTGACACAAGCTGAGGTCAGGGATCGGAGGAAGAATAAAAATGGGGATGTTGAGGCCCTGCATTGCTTGAAGGATGATCGGCTCTCAGGGCACGAGGTGACGTTCTCAAAGACCTGCTGTTCCTCTCTGGGTCTCCAGGCAGGGAGATCAATTTCAGCATGAGCCCACTGAAGAATGTTTTTGTAAAGTAGAAGGCAGAAGTTTACAAAGAAAACAGTGGCGTATTTGCAAATGCTTTCATGGCTGGGATCTAATGGTTGTTGTGGGTGTTTCGGGGTGTTTTGGCGCGGTTCTGAG